ATAATGGGATAACGACGGTACGGACTCCGTGGTTGATAATCAAGTGGAAAAGCTACCTTGGGAGCTTTCAACCATCTATGGCTTAAAGCTATACACCCTAACTAACCTACCAATAAATAGTTTTACGGCTATAAATAATGGTACCATGGAATCCGATGTGTTGACATTATTTTACTATGTACGCAGGTTAATGCAATAGGGTTACGATTATCACGATTGTGGGTTTTCTAACCATTCTTTTTTCCGTGTGTCCTTGCTCCTCATTAACTCCGTGCCGATGTATAGAAGTTGACCTCCGGGTGAATTTTCAATAAATCCTCGTGATCTGAAGTAAATCCTTGGACAGGGAAATAACCATTAAATAATGACTCGATAGCGGAGCACGTCATCCGGACAAAGGCAGCTTCAGCCTTTCCCAGGCTTTGGTCGGTATAGGAGTGCCGTACCTCGGGTAATATTGCAGCCCTAGGTGGTATTCTCAGATGCGCTGAAATAGCATATTTCTATGCATTCCTGATTCCCGAGACAAAAGGACCGAGCCTTGGGCCCGCGGAAGATGAAACCGCAGAGGCGATCCCAGGGGAGCGGTCAAAGAGCGGCCCTTGTCGCAAATTCATTCGCTCGAGGGAGAGAGGGGACTCGCGCAAAAGGAGCCCCGAAGCCCGGAGTGCCTTTTAAATCCGACACCTTTCGGCAGGGAATTTTATGCAAACTAGTACCTATCGGGTTTTGCGCGGGGTATAACAGGGCCAACTCAAAATTGAAAGAGGATTCGAGGGAGCCGGCAGGCGCGCCATCCGGCTTACTCGCGGAACAAGCGTGTTAATTAAACAAAAAGCCCCGTATACCAACCTAATTAGAGAGTGCCTCTTACTTTGCGAGCCGCCCTTCAGGAATATTTTCAGCCTCGACTTTGCCGCAACGCGATAACTCGACGCATTTCCCGCGGGGGAAGTCTCGCCATTTTAACGACGGCGGGTCCCGAGGCCCCGGGTAACGCCGGGGGGTTGCCCCTCTTTTTATCCGCTTACTCCTTGCCGATTTTCTCCTCACTCTTGCCTCGTACCTTTGTTTCGCCTTCCTCTAACTTTCGCCTCGAGCGGCTCACCGAGACGGGACTCGTCAAGATGAGTACCGTTTAAGGCAGAGAGACACTCGGGACTCGAAATAATGGGATTTAGGTCGTTAATGTAATCCCCGTAAGTCTCTCGGTGAAACAACGTAAACGTGTTGAGAATTACTAAGGGAGCGTCGGGACTTAAATACTGAAGTTAGAGCGCGAAAGAGATCCCGTCCTCGAATTTACTTTTTCGTTTCCGACAATCGGAGGATTATTAATATTTTAATCTTCGCGGTCGTATGTCTGTCCTTAAGGTGATGTGAAAGTGGCGCGAAGAGGTCTCGTTTATGAAACTTTTCTCCAAACTGAGTGTACCGTGTCGTTTCAAACCTGACAACGTGAATATGGAAGCTATAAAGAAGGTCCTGACATCCATATTTCATTTTTTTTTTAATTTGGTTATAGATGTTTTCAACATTTTTTGTAAAAAATGGAATTTCATGAGTTACATATATTGAATAAATTGAGTAAATTTGATAAAAAATAATCAATTTGAAAATAGTTGTAACTTTACTTTCTAAGACCAAATCATTATTTTTAACGCGTTATCATTGCTGTAGCAATTTGCTATAGTTATTGTTACCCATTACGAAACAATTTCGGAAACAGTGAACATGTCCCAGTTGTGGCTTCACGACTATCAATTCGTACAGCGGTAGTTACGGTGTACTTTCCTCCAAGTAATCATACTTAACTTCACTACAGAGTTGAATTGATAGCTTCCCGTACTTCATGGCAGCCGCAAGAACGTCGACAATCCCAATTACATTGAAGATTCAACGGAACCTTAAATATTTAGGCGACATTTAAGTTCTAAATCAACCAAACCGCGGGAGGGAATAAAATATGTAGATCCAATTTACATATTGAAGTGACACTTCAACCAACCCTTGGACCCAAGGAGGACTTTCCGTTTTGGAAGCTAAACAATCCCAGCTACTGCAAACACTGTCTTTACGCTGTATACAGTACCACGATATACATTTCTGCTTCCAATTGCTCTCCACAAAGGATTCAATTTCGCACGTTCAATGCATAGCAAAACTAATAAACAGCCTTTGCCGTAGCTGAACTTCATGCAGAAAGTGAACACTGCTATTACCCTAGATTCTCTTCAACGTGAACCTGACTACGGTCCGAAGAGACGTGTTATCAATATTTGTTTTCCCCACAAAATAATTCAATATGATATCAGATGCTTGGTAACGTATAAATTCCACTTATTGCGATGTGATATGATTTTCGTTAATTAATTCGAAGAAAGAAATTTCATGAGGAGCGCGTTATCCCTTAGGGTCCTCCATAATCACGTGTTGAAGTTTCAGATTACTCGGTGCACCCAGTTTGGGGCAAAGTTTTATAAATATTTTCACTTTTTGTCCTGTATATATCACACTTTAATATCACCTTAAGATTACGAGAATAGAAGCACACTTCAACCCTAGTGAGTCACCCTGACCACGATTGCGTACTTTGCCCAGAGTTCATAGCCTTCGCCAAGTTCTTAGCTGCACCTCGTTCCCTGGCTAGCCAGGGTCCGAGGACCTTCGTGATAAGGTTGCAAACTTAAAATTAGAAATTTGGACTTGGGGTGGTGCGATGGGTGGTTACTCTCTCTCTCTCTCTTTCCTCGGTTACTTGCCAAGACCTCGCAGGACCAGATCGGCAAGGGTAGGTCAACGTAGTACAGGTTTCCGTCGTGAAGCTCTTTAGAAGTTACTTCAGCAACATCGGACCTATCTTCTAGGTCCATCCAAAAGTGGAGGCAACGAATTAGAGGCAGAGAGAATCCAGGAGTCGGGATTTTGGAAAGGAAAATTCTGAACCTCTCTTCCGGAGTCAATTCCGTTTATCCCGCGACTCCCCATTTCCCACAGGGGGAATTTGAGAAGGAATTGGTTGTTTCACGTCACAGCAATAATTTCCCGACTCCTTCGACATTTATTCCGAAACACTGATCGTCCCTATTCTTCGTCGCTTTCGGGGAATAATCGACTAGGCGCCGGCGATGTGTACCAAACAGCGATTCGCCTCTTCTCGGCGGCGAGACGTGTCTACAATTTAAATTTCGCGACGTGGCTCGATCCGCGGAAAATAATTCGGTATCCCTTCCACGAGGGTGAGTGATACGAGGCCGTTGGAATGACAATTTTCCTCCCTCTTCGCCGCGGCCAGGACGCGACGTAATCGCTGGATATAACGTCCTTGCACTGTTAAAAAAATTCATAAAATTCATACACTTACATAAGGCTGCAGTAAAGTTATAAATTTGATGTCTTAACAGGGAATTAGTACAGTTAAGTTCAACTATGTCCTATCCCAGTAGTCACAACTGATTGAAGCGAAATTAATACAAAAGAGAATACATTAACATTGGTCGCCAGTACGAGTTCATTAATACTAAATGTTAGAGAACGACTCAATTAGTGTTAATAATTGTTTCAAGACTTGTACGAATGCGAAGGTAAGATTTGTTAAGGTGTCCATCACCATTGGTTTTGGTTGGTTCAAACTTGATTGGTTCCGAAGCGGTTATAAAATTGATAGTTAATAAAAAGTGAACAAGTAATCCGCGGTTACGACACGTGCGAATGACATATAAAATCGGATCGAAGTGTCTTCCACATCGAAGAAATCCTTGGGTCAAGAAGTTCATACTCGTTGGTAGTAGAAATCACACGGCAGTCTTGAAATACGAGACCCGTAAAGGGTTTTGTCAGAATCTTCTTTCACCTCTGCTTCCACTTTCGGAGATTGACTTCTCTCGGGCTCAAGAATCCCGGAACAGTTTCTTTCTTCTGACGGAGGTCCGAACATTGACCCAGAGTCGTTTCGACCCGCGCTGCAAATTTTTACACTCCGGTGCAGGACACGTAGAGAGGGCGAGGGGACGCCAGCTTCCCCGTAGAAGGGAGAGGGAAAAAGAAAGGGTGAGAAAGCGAGCAGTAAAGGGGGATTCGAAACCGATCTCTCGAGGATCTCGGAGAAATCCTTCTCGAGCGCCGCCGGCCGGCTATATTATTCGAGGGAAAATAAAAGAGATTACTCCGACGAAATCCGACGAAAATAGCGTCTCTCGTTGGTCGCTAGCTGGTGCGATGTAGAAGTGGGAGCAGTTTCCACGATGTGGCACACCTCCGTACACGGTGCCTCCCTACGTCCATTTTCTCCACATTTCGTCCCGTGACCCACGTTGTGCGTGCTCTCTGTGGAACAAATTGGCCCCGACATTGTGCATGCACTCGATACTGCAGGTTGTACTCGACACCGTGTGTGCACCCTGCTGAATCATTTCATTGGATCGACGCAGCTTGAAACATAACTGATGGAACATTTGATCGCGAACGGTGCAGCCACGCTTTCTAATTAGAGTGCCATGCCCATTGTCAAACAGTTCGAAAGAAGGAAAACCGAAAATCCCGTCGCCAATGACGGTTCAACATTGCAACTGCATCCCTTTCCAAGGAAAAAAGACCATACACCATACATTGCGTTTCCTACAAGTCGTACACCACTCGTCATTTACCACGAGCCATCGTAATCCAGTTCAGAGCTCAAGTATTTTGAGCTGATGGACAATTATCGCGTTCCCCCCGCAAGGAATCCTCTTTCTCTTCATTCGAGCCGAGCTAAACTCGCCTAATTACCGGTAAATAAATGGCTACTACGGCGGGAACGACGAAAATAGCGAGCACCACCGCGTGTGGGTCGGCGGAGCTCGAAGAGTGGTGGCGGGCTCTACATCGTGGAACACCTCGCACACGGTGCTCCAGTCGGTGTTCCACGTCGTTCTCCACCTCTTCCTCCCCGTACTTCCTCCATCGTGCTCCTCTCCGAGGCCAGGCACGGCTTGGTCACAGTTGGGACCTCGCGCTAACTCCTGGCCACTATAGCCGAAACTGCAAGGCGAGTATTTCGAGCCCGAGGAGACACATCGCCGTCTTCTAACTCTTCTTCGCCGTCGTCGTCTTTCTCATCTGGCTCCTCTCGCGTGTCATATTTCCCCTCTCCCCGAGGAACTGGCTTCAGAAGCTCCTAGGCAAGACACACGGCCGTCCTAGAGACTTTTCGCCAAGAAGTGCCCCCAAAGTCGGAGAAGGATCGGCTCGCAGTGAGTTTAGGGATTGGTTTATCCTTTGGCTTACGAGCACTCACCTATCTCGCTTGAGGACCTCGTATCACCACTTCCGGGGCTTTCCATCGCCGCCCTAAGTACCGCTGAAGTTCTTTTGTGCCGTGATATTAACCGCGACATTCTGTCCGCGGTATTTTTCCGCTCTGCGTTGCGCAATCTTGGAGTGCTTTGTTCCGGCCCGGTTCATTGTTCCTTTCTGGCGCATCAATGGTTGTTTGATGTAAAGAGGGTGGTTCTGTGTACGGGATAGTTTTGAAAGCGGAGGTGCAAAGGAAAATGCGCTCGGAGTAAATGACACGGAGGAATGGCTCTGCCGAGAGTTAGACTAAGTGCGGACGGAGAAGTTTTAGCCGATGTGTAATTCCGGATCGAATTTCGCTGGCGATGGGGTGGACGGCGGCGAAGACGACTTCGTTCCACAGGTGGGTTTTCTTTTTTGCTAAGTGCAATACAGAGCGCTTTTTACTCCACTCGTAGTCTTTAACTCATCTTCGATGTAGGTCTGCTTCGATGGAAATGTCGTAATGAAATTTAATTGAGAACGGATCCTTTTATCGACTATCGTGGACATGATTAAATCGGATATATTCTTCTAAAGAGAAGTATAAAATGTCTAGACTTTCCTGTCTAGGTAGATTGCTATAAATAGTGTATACTTCATAACTTACATAAATGATACCTTTTTCTCTCTAAACGCGGACGATATTGGAATTGAATGTCATATTTTTTTAAACAACGTTACAAAATATTCCTTCAAATTTTTCAGGAATTTTTTCTCTCCTTCAATAAGGACTGTGGCTGGTATCGTTATTTATAGAACTTTATTAAAATCCGTTCATAAGCGATGTCACGTAATCTTGCGATGGTATTGACCGTTTTGTAAGAGACGTCTATATTTTTCGAGGTTGCAATAACGACGCCGTTTCAATGAGATACTACCCTCGAAACGACGGAATCCTACCATTTCCTTACAACCTTTTCCTCCGAAAACGAATAACATAAAGCATAGAAGAATAGAAAGATTCTATTTCTCCCGTATCGATGAATTCCGTTATCGGATATCACTTATCCTGGAGTACCAGTGTTGCACCCCAAGAAAGCCATCTACTAACTTTATGGGACCATATCGTGCGGTTTGCCCTTTCCATTTTAATGGCTACTTATAAGAACGTCGTATAATACAACTCTTGAACTCAATCAGCCAAAAAGTCTCAATTGAGTATTAATAAGACAGCGTTCCTAGCGTTAGCGAAAAATGATTACCGGTACCTACTATTGCTTGATATTAAATATGTATCAATGCAAAATGAGCGGACACCGTCTCTTTACGTTATTCTAAGTAATTCACGTTACTCTCCCATTTGCGGGATTTTTATTGTTACATGGTACGATCATTTTGGTCAGCAGCGTATTACGGTCGAATGATGCCATTACGGTAATACCTACACATTATCTAGAGATAATTACCTCCCGCAGTGTTTCCTGATAGTCTGGGGGAAAAAACGTCCCCGACCTAACGTCAAGTAACGACCATGATTTCGAGAAACGGCGTCGCGTTAATGGAGTATGGGTATTAATCGAACTATACGGACTAGCTATTGTTTCGTAAAGTAATTGTATTATTGCAGCCGTAACCGGCGTCGTGCTAGCCGCCAATTGCAAATATAATTGCGTTGCCGATAACGCGCCACGCACTTTCGTGTTTGCCGTTGAACGGCCAGGAGCTGGTTGGGGACATTTTGGCCGCACCGAGGGCATCGACAGTAAAATGAAGTACGACTTCACAGTAACGCCCCGTGAAAACGAGCGCTAACGAGCGATTTTATGAAAGGATCGACACGGAAAATTTCCGCTTTCCGCGAAGGTAATTCCCGGCTGCTGATGTAGTAGTGCGTTCCGCCGGGGCACGACAGGTACCGAGCATTTTACATAGGGACCCTCTGTACCGGGGCTTTGCAAGGAGTAAATTAAAAAGTGAACGCCGAGCCCGCCGTTAAATTATTTCTTGTAACAGTGGCCATACTTTTTGCGCGGTTAATCGCGGGCTGCGCCGTCCATTTGGTAAAAAATTCACCAATTCGAGTTGCTTTACACTCTCGACGGTCGTCCTTGCTACCGAGGAAAAATAGTCTTTTTAAATGCACGTTATTACAGCCCGAGCACGGAAATTTTCCTGACTCGTTGACCGATTTATTCAAGTTTCATTATTCCTCCTCGTCTCATTTAAATACGTTTGTTCATCGAATTGTTTCTTGATGGTTAATGTGCAAATGGGGTGTACAGGTGGATGTATACATATTAATATATGGGTTTCCTCGACGTTAAGAAATCCTCAACACTTAATTTCTTATTTTTATTAAACAGTACATAATGTCAATGATCGATACGCAAATCAGTCTCGACCGAACACATCAATTAAACCAATTGCCAAGTTAGCGATATACTCCGGCCAATGAAAGTAAACTCGGGTAAACTCCCATTGAAAACACATTCGCCGAAGCTTCGCATTAAGTTCCCCGTAAAAGCCGTAAGCTCGGAGCTTTCGACTCGGGGGCAAGAAGAAACGAGTCTCGATTACGACACAATTCAGCAGGTGCGATTAGCACTGACGTCACAGGATTGAATATCGATGCCGATCGGGGTAAATCGATCTAAAACGACGGCCACACATATCGCGACACTTTGCGCGCGTGCTTACACGACGCAATACACGCATCGCGACGCTTTCATCGCGCCCTGTAGTGGGTACTCGTTCTCGAGTGTTGACAACATTAAGCGCCGCGTTTATGGCCGCTTCGTCGACGCGATCTATAAGCTCGTGATACGTCCAGGTTCGCACATTAATGGTTTAATTATAGCCCCGAAGTGCCGATAGACTTTTACTGTTGCGTGGACCGATCTATTCCGAGCATTGCGCGTTAACGATGCCCCTAGTGCGCCATTATCGCTCGAAAAAGAACACCGTGTCGTTGTTAGGTTTTACGGCTACTAGTTATTATTGCACCGAGCTTTAGGGCACTGTGCCGAAAACCGAATTGCGCTAGCCGAGAGGAAAAACCTAATGGACGAAGGGAATTAATTGTCCTGTCGTTCCCGTACACTGTTAAAAAAATTCATAAAATTTATACACATTTTTAGTACATAAGTGTCGAATTATATTGAGTATTATACTAAATGCCGTACTCCATCTGTCGTTTTCGTGCAATAATTGTAAAGAAATCGAAGTAAGACTCGAGAAATTAAAATTTGATAATTGGGGGATAATAGGATATTTTAATCGTATTTGAGGCTGCGAATTTTGGTGTTCTACGATAAGGGCTTTCTTGAGGAATTGTCGAGGGAAATTATTTTACGGTAATATACGGATAAGTTAGAGAATAATTGTTTGCATGGTAAAGTAGCGTCGTACGGAGGCGGAGCTATTATGATAAGAGTATTATTTATCTATTTCCAGACTGGCAACAGCTACAGGTCGCCCGAGGAGTCGCCGCCCACGGAGCAAAAGTTGAGGTAAGTCGAGCTTTCGCGGGGAATTCTTTCTTTACACTTTCCGCGCTTCTTTCCGAGTTCCGCCGTAAGCTCGCGACCGGAAGGAGCGGCCGTAAAATTCTGTAAAAATAACGAACGGCTCTTCGGCCATTGCCGAGCTTATTGTTTCGCAGCCCGTCAAAATAAAGCTCTCGCGACCGTGCCGAAAGTTAAGGGGGAAACGTGCTTCCGCGATACGTCTCTCACATAAATGTTCCAAAGAATTTCCCGGGGCGCTTTTCGGTTCATTCGAGAACGCGAAAAAGTATTGCTTAAGGGAAGGACTGAGTAATTATTTCGACACGTACGTTCCGCACGAATATTGAGAAATATTATAATTGTTCTGTGCTTGAGAGAAGAACAATATTATTGCATTGTACTATATTGTACTGACTTCTTTACCAGTTTCGTACAATTGTTACAATTTGACGGGTAAATTAACAACAGATATTTCATGACAGATTTTAAGGTAAATTTTTCGATTAACAGGGAAATCCATTTACGTAATCATTTGACCAATTAAGAATTATATACTTTTCTTACTTCCCTTCTAAATAATCATTAAAAGCAGATTCTACCTTATAGATAATATCACAACACAAATGATTAAATAATGTAAACACTTTATAAAGCGAAAAACGAACGACGTATTCCGTCAAATACTTCAATTGACAAAAGAACCAAGATAAAAATATTATTTTAATAAAATGCGGAGCTGTTGTGGGATGATCTTTTTAATCACGGCCAGATCATTCCATCGGTTTCGCTCGAAAGTTTTCCGGGAGTCCCCCAAAAAAGAATGAGAAAAAGAAGGAAGGGAATGGAATAATTAACAAAGTATTTAAAATCGAGGAAAGTTTCAAAGTCGTGTCCGTCGGTGGCCGTAAAGCTATTTCATCCCTATTGTTATCACCGTCGCCGTACTCCCCATAATCGTGCCGAGTCGTAACCGCGAGCTTGCGCCGATTATCCAGTGCCCCTTTAAATAATTGTCGGTAATTACGCGCCGATTGCAGTTGAGGTCAATTTCGCCTTCGTGCTCCCGGCAAATGTAAGTTTGACGGATGAAGCGAGCATACGAGCGATTATCTCGCGCAACACCTGCGTTTCCCATGCGGTGGCGAGCTTTAGCGAATTGCCTAACCTACCTCACGGCAGAAGAGAGGGGAAATTCAAATTGCCAATTTGAGCGTGTCAATTCATTCTCCATTACACCTGGTTATCCTCGAACGGGAAATGAATTCTACGAACCGATGTTTCCTACCATATTTCCCCTTCCGCTTAAGCCATTAAAAAAAAGAACACAATCTTTTATGTAGACATTTTCATAAATTCTTTGAAATATTAGAAATTACAGAAATAAAGACATTTGAGCACGTGTACATTTTTTACCGCATGCAAAACTATTAGGTCGTACTTTAACATAAGTACCATCTAATGTTACTTGGATCAAAACTTCTGAAAATCTACACCTCTGATCCTGATATGTATCTCTGATTATATTTTCAAAATGAGAACACATATCGGGTCAAAATTTTAAGTAAACCCACAACTGTGGATTTATGGAAATTAATTTCCTTTATTAGCCACGACTACACACGAGTCAATTGGATGTTTTAAATGAACGGAGCAATTTCTTTTTTCGATAATCCAGTAGTTCATCCAGACAGTTTCATTGGTTATGTATATGTGCTGATGGTTCTTGTCGATAAATCTTTTTGCCCAATACATGACCGCGGTCGTTGAACGGATCTTGTGTCTATAAAGGAAAGCTCCTTGAGGACTTAGGATCTGCCTGTGATAGGCAGGTTCCTCTTGCGAAGCTTTTACGAAAGAGGAAAGAGGCAACAGACACGTTCTCATCCCTGAAAGCTCGCGTTGATCGGTAGTTAAAATGTTCCACTTCAGACTTTCCTTCCCCAAGAGGATCACGCTATCAAAGTTCAGGCCATATCTTATCTCCTCCTTTTTCGGTTTCCGATTATTTTCTGTTTTTCATCTTTATTTGCATGGATGAGTGTCGCGAAATTACACATTATGATTCGGTTATGGTACAGACCTTTATGAGCGATTTTAATCGGTTGTTAGGTTCCTCCCTGACATACAGCAATTAATCAAGCACCTGTCGATACGATGTTTGGTATGGTTCGGAGGATGAATTAAAACGTTTGATATTTCGCATGTTACCACGAATGCGAGGAGCGGACAGTACTGCCATTTAACGAGGACTCTTTCAATTAATTATTTCATCGTTTTGCAATTTTGGTAGGTAACCTAGGTATAAAAGAATCGAACACGTTTCCCGGGAAATATGTTAATAGACTTGGTATCATCGCGTTTTGGACAGGTGGACATATGACCGATTAAATTTATGACCTTCCTGTCATGTGTTGATCGCGTGTAAGCCTACATACGATTAAGGTCATGTCATACGTACATATCTGAGCCGGTATCGTTCCCATATCGTATTTTCGCGCAAAGTAGATTTAAAATTGCTTTTAATAAAGTTACAGGGAAATGTCAATAGATTTGGGTGTAGCGTCATATTTTATCAGATTAGAAAAGGCAGACACGGAACAGACATGATCTAGATAAACATTATTCGACTTGTCTCAATTATAGATTTGAGTATTGGTTCGGGTGACAAATACAGCGAGTAAAAAATATCCGAAATAGATAAATCCTTTAATGTGGAACTATATTTCCAAAAATTAAGATTATGCTCATTATAACAATCTTTTGATATATAAAAAAGGGTACACATCGTTTTACATATTTCATATTTAATCGTTTTTATAAAAAAATTCATATACAATTCGCGGATATAATTATATATATAGACCGTGTATAGCAAAATGTTCTTGACTTTTTTTCAATTTAGGAAAAAACGAAGTTTAATTTTTCCCGCGACCCCCTAATCGTTATCGAACAACGGTTGGGATATTAATTCGATTAATTCAATTAATATCCCAAAGACGAGACTTTCCCTCCGCTCTCTATTATCCATTCTTTGACGCTGCCAGATCTTTGCGGAGATTGAACGAAAATACGTCGGCGTTATTTCAGGCGCGGATTTTCCGCGTCGTCGAAAGGATACCCCAACTCTCCGATTTTCTTTCCTACGCTGTTAAAAAAAAATATCATAATTTTATAACATTCTTGTTGGAAGTTTTATTCACAAAAATTAGCAAACAATGCGTACTAAATGACTCTCGAATATGAAATTTATAATTTTACTACAACTTTATGTACTAAAAGTCTATGAATTTTATGAATCATTTAAACAATGTAGAAATGGGTTGATATGGCAACACTTTCGTCGTTATTTCGCTATTTTTATCGTCATGCGTTTAACGATCCCATTGAAAATTATAATATAGTCGGACAATGATTTCACGGCAAGACGCACCACATGTCTGGAATTACATACGTCCACTTTAAAATAGGATTAAGGGGATCCAAAAGTGAACATACGCGAGCATTGGGAAACGCAACGAAAGAGGCACGGAAACAAAGGAGTGAAGGAAACGATGAAAGAGGGAAAATAACAATAGTTCTCTGTTCCGGAAATGAAAGCCCCTCAAGACCGATTGCAAAGGGAAAGCCATTCGCCTTAATCCTGAACAACTGGACCCTAAAAGCTCGTGAAAATGGAAAAGACAAACGACTTTGCTAGCCCTATAAAGGGCGGCTATAATTAAAATATATTTCGTATATAATCCTGTATATGATGTGATACTAAAAATTGTGATGAGTGGGAGGGTAAATCCCGGAAGGCTCAAATATGACCTATTGGCTATTTAACGTGATTCTCAACAATTGTTCGAACACTAACCACTGCTACCGACTAGTTAGTTCTTCAATCATGAGTGAAGTCTCATTTAAAAACGATATTACGCAGCAACATCGTTTAAGTATATCAGGGTGTAAACGTAATGTGCAAAACGTCACGAAACATTGTCCACAAATTAGTAGCTTGAAACAGAAGGGAAAGAGAAAATTCTTCTACTTCTTAACATGACTTCAACAAAACGCTGCAGAAATTTCCTTCCCGCCCAGCGATCGCTTTATTTGCATCGCTCGCATATATTTTTTAAATCCTAGAACTACTATATTTCGCGTTTTTTGAGCCGTACGCTACTTCTTAACATGGCTTCAACAAAACGCTACACAAAATTTCCCTCTCGCACGGTGATCGCTTTATTTGCATCGCTCGCATATATTTTTTAAATCCTAGAACGACTGTATTTCGCGTTCTTTAATCTGTACGCTACTTCTTAACATGGCTTCAACAAAACGCTACACAAAATTTCCCTCTCGCACAGTGATCGCTTTATTTGCATTACTCACATATATTTTTAAAATCCTAGAACGACTGTATTCCCCGTCCTTTAAGCCGTACGCTACTTCTTCCACGGGTAAGAAGATTCAGAGAACAGTCGGAGAGTTGCCGAGCGCGGGAGTAAGAGAATATAAAGGGAGAAATAAGCCGGGCAGGGGCGTGTGCACGAAAGTAGAAGTGAGGAGGACAGGGAGAGACGGAAAAATCGTGGATGAGAGTAACGGAGCGAGAGCCTGGAAAACCTGATTCCCCTCTAGCACCTAATTCGCCCCGCCACTCGCGGGAAATCGTAGGAAAAGTCTGAAAATTCACGAGAGGGTGGAAAATGGGGCGGAGAGGACGGCCGAGCGAGAGGGGCGGAAAGTAGCCGGCTATCTTTCTCCGCCTCACGCGTGCGGGCTTGAAACAATACTTCTTATGCCATTTCGCGAGAAGACGAGGGCGCCTTAAGGCCACCCCCGTCGCTCTTCGTGCTTGAGGTACGAGCTTTCTTCCCCGAGCTGCGCTCTTCTAGCCTCTCTTTATGTTGCCGCCAACTCGAAAACTTCCCGAGCAAACTTTGTCGCACGCCGGCCAGCCCCCGCCTCGACGCCAGCCGCGGTATCATCTCGGCGTAAAGTATGGATTATTCCGGATATTT